CATGTGTGTATACACACCACATGACTTGACTGGCTAAGACACGAGGGCCTTATGAACATTTGTGTTTGTTTGCCTAGGACGAGGTAAAGTACTAGGTCACTTTCTGTTCATATCCTAAAACTCCCAGACAGATCTGAAATCAATAGACCCGAGCTCTGGATGAGGCAGGCCCATAGGTCCCATTTCAGTGAGCCTTCACTTCTGCTATGCCCAAAGCATGATTGAGCCAAAGTGGAAATACATTTTTTTTTACATAAGAGCAAAGAATTTCACAGATATAATCTCCCAAGTATACAAAACATGTCACTTGTCTCCGTGTGTGTTACTTCCTCAGAAGTCTTCCTCAACACCCCACCCAGAAAATTGCTCCATCTAATAACATTCACTTTACTTTCCCAACATCACTCTCTCAACAATCTTGTTCACTCATCTGTGAGCTTATTTTCTAATTCTAGAATCCAGGCTCTGTGAGAACAGAGATCCTGTATGTCATGCTCATCATTGCATCTCTGGCAGATGCCTGGTACAATTAATTGTTCATAAATGAATTTTTCCTTGTATATGATAGATCAAAATATACCATGAAATAGAAAAGCAATCTCTATTCACACACAGATATATACATACACATCTACATACATACATACTTCCCTGAACTACAGAGTAACAGTTTCTAACTGTTTTAAGGTACATTATTCTAAGTCAGAGGTGAAATATTTTGTTGTTTTAAAGTAAATTATATCACAGTAAAAATTATGTAAGCCTATTCAAATAGAAGAGCTTTGGTGGAAAAACAATTTAATATTTTGGGGAAAATAACCCCGAAGCTACCCATAAAAGACAACATTTATCCCGTAACTTTTATATCAGTAAAAAATAATCAGATGAAACAACTTTGAATATGGAAATTTATTTTATGCAGTTATTTAAATCTGTTGTTTAAAAAGTTCAAAGGCACTTTAAAAAACATATTTAAAAATACATTTTTCTGACTTAACGGTGATCACTTAAAATAAGCAAGTCACCAGACATTTTTAAACCATTCATGACACTATTACCTTAAATAATTTTTAAATTCCAAAACACAAACATTCACTATGTAGTACAACACACTGCTTAGCAGTAAGATTAGTTTCCCTCTAACAATATACTTCATGTAGATTATTAATTTGCAGGGCCCTGCAAAGTTATTCAAACGTAACTAATATAAACAAAAACCAGAGAGGTAAAGGGAGTTGAGAAACAGCACAAATCAACTCTTAACGCTAGGTTTAGAGTTGGTTTCGGTCAAGAGAATTGGTAAAATTTCTTATTCCAATCTGTGTTAAAATTTCTATTTCAACTCTCATTTTATATAAACATTCTTTTTTTTTTAATCAATAGGGCTAACAGCATAAAATATACCACAGGTTGCCCCGAGATTTCTTAGATATGTTTCCATCAGGCTTGCTATCAGGTAGAGATATGAAGCAAATGAGTTTAGGTTTTCTTTTCTGAGAAATGGGTAAATGGGGGCACCCCAATAACTGTACTTCTATTAATAATTATAGATGCAGAATTAGTTTAAAATTGTAGATTTTTAAGTAGGGCACATATTCTGAGAGCCAGCAGGCATTACTCTTAGACTGTTACTTTCAATCTCCTAGGGAAATCTAGTTAGTAGGTTTAAAAATATCAGTAAGAGATACACATTCTAATCACTACTAACAGTCATAACGTTGTGAAGGCAGCATGAGTAGCTAGAAGATGGATGTTAGTTATAAAGGAAATAAAGAAGGGCAGTAAATACAAAGACACAGAAACTGTCAAAGACAGAATAACAGTCTAAGGAACTGAAAATTTAAATGGCAAAAACATGCTAGAGATGATCTAATCAATTGAGGGATTTTCAAGTACCAGAGTGCCTCAATCTGGAATGATATAGTTTGACAGGCTCACAGAGGTGAAAAATTAATGCTCAAGAAACAATTATGAAAATAACCAGTTAGCAAATTTAATGCTCAAATCCAAGTCCATATTCAAAAATATTAAAAACTGGTCAGTGATTTATTTTCATCACTTATAGTAACACAAACTCCTCTGAAATTTATGGTATACTCAAACTCTGGGACACAAACCTGCTTTATCTATGAACTTCCCACTAGGAGATACCAGAATCCTGTTATTAGAGACTGTTAAGATATCAAAAGCATTATGCTTTGAGACCACAATAAAATCATTTATCCAAATAATAAAGATCTTCACCTAAAATATGGTTAATAATTCATCATCACGAAACCTGGTTTTATGTGCTCTATCAAATACTTGGAGTTTTTTTTAATTAGGTCATAGAGGACAGTCAAATGATCCTTAAGTGATGAAATTTTAATTGATAGAATGATTCAGCAGGAAAATACTCTGCATGTTATAAAATAGTATTTTGCCACTTCCATTTAAAATTTTTTTACTAACACTTGTGGACATTTTTGCTGATACTCATTTATGTATACTTTTAATGAATTAGTATGCATTTATTACTAGTACTTAATGCATAATATAAAATTACTAAACTTAGAGAATTATAGATTTGACTGTGGGCCCTGATACTAGTCACTCTTGAAAAGCTAAAAAATCTTGCCAGAATGAATGATCCACTGACCCTTTAAATTATCTTTAAAGTATTTTACATTTAATATAGTGTGGTCCTGGACTACACTGACTTAAAATATGCTTTAACTAAAGTTTTTGAAAAACATGGGGCAGTAATCTTCAGTGCGTTCCAAAGACTATTTGTACCAGAATGATATAGGTGGTTGGGGAAGCGTTCTCCAACTAGGAGGAGTAAGATTCACCTGCAGGCTTATTGAAACACACCTGCTACCCCCTTTGCTAGAATATCTGATTTAGTCAGTATGGGGTAGGTGGGCCCCGAGAGATGCTGTATTTCCAGCAAGTTTCCAGGGGATGTTGGGCTGTCTGTTAAGCCCACACTTTGACAAACACTGCCCTAGGGTATCTAGTTCTAGTAAGAATGCCTGGGCCCCATACTAAAATCAGAGTTTCTGGGATTACGGTCTTTAGATTTGCATTTTAATAAGCTCCCAGGAAAGTCCAAGAACCACATTTAAAAAATCACTATGACGATTTGGCTGGTTAATTTGACTACTATTGGTCAATGTATCAGATGTCATATGTGACAATAAAAATTATGCTAAATGACTAACCCCAAGCCTGAACTTGTTCAAATGAACACACAGGGTTTGAGTATAAATCCTAGGCCTGTTACTACTAACTTTGTGACAGTGGAAAAATTACTTTAATTCTCTGAGCCTCAGTTTCCTTATCTATAATATGAGAATAACACCCAATTTGTGAGGATTAACACTAATATACACAGATTACCTAAGCACAGTACGGCATACAGTAGGTATTAGATAAATACTAGTTATTACTTACTATCATAAGAAATATTTCCTTCAGTATCTGATTTGATCAAAGCAGATTTTTCATTCATTTAAATGAAATATTTACACTCCAAGGTAACAAAATAATGACAAAACCTTATACTTACTGCTCCCTATTATGGGACAGATTGTGTTCTAAAAGTCTTACATATATTTATTTATTTAATCCTCATAAAAATCCTGTGAGGTAGGTAGCATTATTATTCCTAATTTACAGATGAGGAAATTGAGGCACAGAGAAATTAAGTCAATTGCTCAAAATTACAAAAAGAGTAAGTGATGGATGGAGCAAGAATCTAAGCCCAGGCAGTCTGACTCCAGAGCCCAGGATGCATCACAACATTCATTTCCTATGAGTCAATCTTAAGGTTGGTGGATATTTATCATAAACCATTTATACTTCTATTAACACAGCATATATGGAAATCCATGTCCACACCATGGTGAAGAGCTGTTCAAAGGACAGAATGAATGCCTGGAAACCTGGGCAGATGATACTACCATGAAAACAATAAAAAGTAATTTAATAGGTAAAAACTGGTACATGCTTTCACTATGTGGATAGTAATCCATGTTAGCCAATGAAATGGACATCTCAAATATACCATCCAGGCAGGTCTGATTTTGACATATTTTTGGCACAATAAATAGAAATCATTCAGCCAAGCAGGAACGTCAATGGCATGGCAGCCATGTAAAATTAGCAAAGAGATAAACATAAGGGAAATGCAAATCTTTTATAACTTTAAAAATAATCTTATAGAAAGTCTGTAAAATACTCTGTTATGATACACTCAAACAGTATTGCTAAAGACAACAAAAATTAGTTTTCTTCCTTCCAGAAACTCTTTAAATAGAGAGTCACTACAAATAGAATGAAACACTGGTGACTGTGTTTTTGACAAGTCTTGAATAAGTGTTTTGCTTCATTAGAATTAACCACTGGCAAAACAATTATGCCAAAATAGTAGGTCAGTATCCAACTTCAGACTATTCACAAATTATCTGGTCTTTTAATAAGTAGTATTTTGGTTTGTTTAAGCATTCTGCATTTTCTAACGTTTTAAAATGACTCTGGTCAAAATCTTGGATTCAAAATTATCTTGCCGATGTAACTAACAGCCACCTCAGATTCTAAAATTGAATTTTAAAACTCTGCTTTAAAATTTAAAACTCTGCTTTTAAATAAGTTATGAAAGGCACACACAAGTTCTCATCTCAACAGGATGAGAATGAAAGAAACTATATGCAGTTGAAAAGAGTTTTAAATAATCAATTAAAAATGTCACTTGTAATTCCTGAGTGGCATGATATAAGAAAAGCATCCCCAAAATAGCACTACATTTACGACCAATTGCCCATGATTAACAACGGGCAAACTTGGGAGCAAAATACTGCAAAATACACACAGAATACTATTAATGTTTTGAGTAAATAAACGTTAGTAGTGAAGAATGGTATTCAAGAGTGGTCCAACATCTTTAGAAAAGAGAAAGCAGGGATTCAGGAAAAGATTGCTAGTTAGAACCAAGCAGACAATATAATCAAGGCCCATGATAATTTCAGAATGTGTTTTATTAATGCACTTTAGGGTAAGTGCCATCCTCATTTTACCTTCTTCTGGAAGAGATACTGCCAATTATAAATAATCACAGTAAAATTTTCATTAGACAAAAACTATGTGGGTAGGGGTTGATTCATTTATATCATACTGCAAATATAAACTCATTTCTTGAGCTTATTACCAACACTGAGCCACACTTACTTCCTTCTAAAGTTTTCTTTAAGGCAGATCTGTTTAGCATCGTGTATATGACTAATATGGTGCAGTGTGGTTTTAGCAAATTTAACTTGTTTAGTTTCTCAGTGACAATAATACACAAGATCAAAAATAGGCAACAAAATCTCTTTTCTAGTTCCTCTACCTGGCCACCATTTGAAAAACACAACTTCTTCATATATATATATTTATATATTACTGTATCAAAACACATTTTAACAGACTTCACAGCTCATTTAAAGCTTCAGTTTACAGTCATTCATATGAAAGATGTCTATATGGAATGTTCACTTGAAAAGAATTCCTCACTGAGATTCCAGTGTTCTGTGTCAGAAATGCAGAAATCTTTCTTCTTCAGTGCAATGCCAGACATGTAGCCTTTGTACATTCACGATTTCCTTTCAAGGGTTTCCTAATTTTACTTTTGCATCTTCGTTTCTGTTTGTTTGACTGCTTTCCTTTAGCATATTTTCAGGTAAGGCAGGTTGATATCTGTATAAATAACCATACGGACGAAGATGATAAACGAGGTATTCTAACTCATACATAGTTGTGGAATCAACATAGTGAAAGGAAACTGCAAGATCGGAACAGCAACCAGGACCCTAAAAAAAATGTGGAAACAGGCACTGTTAATACACAGCACATCGCTAACACGCAAGATTTACATACTCATAACACACTAACTTTAAAAAGAATTCAAGCACTAAAGCTGGCCAGGTAAAGCCAAGAAGCCTACGACCTGTGGAATAAATCAAAGGTTGGCACAGAATTCCTGATGATTTAAAACCAAACATGAAATTGCCAAGGTATGTCTAACCAAAGCTATATTCTCTCACATTCTTCAGCGTTAGTAGATACAATTCAAAGGGGCAGCTAGACCAAGGAGGAGCCTCTATTTCTCCAGCTTTTGCTTTCTCTTCCTAATTTTCTCACAGTAATTTTTTGCTTGGCTCAGCCTCAGAAAGATATCCCTGGAGCATGCAATGATGCAAAGTCGTGCCTAAAGGGTCTACAACTTAACACTTCATCTATATAGCGACCCAAAAAGTTCAGTCAGTATTTGAGACAAAGCTCTCAAGCCAGACCAATCCAAAATCTGCCTGCTATTATATGACTTTGGGCAAATTACTTAATCTCCATAAGCCTCGATTTCCCATCTGTAAAAGGTAGTTACTTAAAGGAGACTGTATATAAAATGCTTGGGACTCTCATTTGCTTATAATAAATGCTTAATAAATATTAGCTATTGTTGACAGAATAATCATATTCAGGAAGCCCTTGGGTTAAGTATATCAGTTTTAAACCTCTGTCTAGTTATCTAATTCTCATAGATTACTAACAAGGTTAGTGTGAGAATGAGTTTAAAATGAAATAACAATATAGGTTGGGTGTGGTGGCTCACACCTGTAATCCCAGCGCCTTGGGAGGCTGAGGCAGGAGGGCTGCCTGAGCCCAGGAATTCGAGACCAGACTGAGCAACTTGGTGAGACCTCGTCTCTACAATAAATCAAAAAAATTAGCTGGGCATGGTGGCACATGCCTGTGGTTCCAGCTACTTGGAAGGCTGGGGTAGAAGGATTGTCGGAGCACAGCATGTCAAGGATGAGGTAGCCATGAGCATGCCACCGCACTCCAGTCTGGGTGACAGACTCTGACTCAAAAAAAAAAAAGAAGAAGAAATAGCAATACAACAAACAAAAAGAATGAGAAAGCAAGAAAAATAAGAAAATAGAAAAAGAATTATACTAATCCCAGAATGAAACAGTCACCAGGTCAATCTGGGTCAAAAGTGGTATCAGGACAACGTTTTATCCAGATGACTCCAACAAAACTGTAGACTCCATCTGATGTCTTTGCAAGGACTAGGGAGAAAGATTTGCAAGTTCCAAGAGAAGATTCATATTGGTTTATTAAATTGAACATTTAATAATTCATGTTTGGGGGCTGGGCACAGTGGCTCACAACTGTAATCCCAGCACTTTGGGAGTCCGAGGCAGGAGGATCGCTTGAGCCCAAAATTCGAGACTAGCCTGAGCAACACAGTAAGCCCCCTTTTCTACAAACAAAAAATCAACAAATTCACTGGGTGTGGTGACATGTGCCTGTAGTCCCAGCTACTTGGGAGGCTGAGGCAGGAAGATCATTTCAACCCAGGAGGTTGAGGCTGCAGTGAGTTGTGATTGTGCTACTGGGTGACAGTGTGAGACCCCCAATTTAAAATAAAAATCATGATTGGAAGTATGCCTTTACAATGTAGTAAAAATTATCAAGAAACTGTCTAGCCGGGCTCAGTGGCTCAGCCTGTAATCCCGTGCCCTTGGGAGGCTGAGGTGAGTGGATTGCTTGAGCCTGCGGGTTTGAGACCCGCCTGGGCAGCGAGACCTCATCTCTACGATAAATCAAAAAATCAGCCAGGCGTGGTAGTGCATGCCTGTAATTCCAGCTACTTGGAAGGCTGAGGCGGAAGGATAACCAGAGCCCAGCAGGTCGAGGCTGCGGTGGCCGGGAGTGGCCATTGCACTCCAGTCTGGGTGACCGAGTGAGACTCCAACTCAAAAAAAAAAAAAAAAGAAACTGTCCAATGCATATTCTCTGCCGTTCTCTCTGAACTTTCCTTGGAAACAAACACTGAATATATGGATTCTTAGACAACCACATAGACACTGGAAAATTACCTGGTGCCTACTCTTTATGCCATTAGGGAATACTAGAAACAAATATGAAAAGTAAGCTGAGAAGTCAACTTCTGATGATCTAAACCAGCTCTGTCCAATAGATATATGAGCCACAAAATGCAGTTTTAAAAAATGTAAAAAGAAATAGGAGGAATTTTTATTATAAATTAATATATAAAGTAATACCTTATTGGCTTGTGAGGAAGAAAGTAGTTTGATGAAGTGAGTTATTTATATGGTAGAGCCAGAGAAAAGAAGGCATAGAAAGCTAGTGACTTACCTAACTAAAAGCATTACTAAACAGCAACAGAACTGAGTCTAAAAGCTAGGTTTTGAGATTCCTGGTCTCATTCAATTTTTTCACTGTAGCATTGCTTATAACAGTGAAAAACTGAAAAAAAACCAAAACCCTATTACATGTATTGTCAGCAGGCTAATGGATCAATTACAGTGTATTCATATATTAGATTATTACAGCATTTAAATTAATGAAGCAGATACATATATTAACTGAGAAATCTCACTGTTGTGTGAAAAGGGCACACTGTAGAAAGATATACAGAGTTTAAATTCATTTATTTAGAAACCTGAAAAAATACTATCTATTATTCATGACTACACAGACATGCAGGAAACCTACTAAAACACACACAGTAACTCATGTCGGCAGTTGACTCTAGGGAAGGTAGGTGGCAGGGGAACATAGGCCATAACTACATCTGTAACATTTTTTTCTTTCAAAAAATCTGAAGCAAACGTGGCAAAATTAATATTTGGTAAAGCTGAAGGTTAAGTCCAAGGTATCATACTATTCTCACATACTTCACACCTGAAGTATTTCATAAAATAACATCCTTAGATAGAATTCTCAGCAATTTGGGCTGAGGTGTCAATGCAAGCCAAGGCCTGTCAAATGCTTCCTGTGGGAACGGCCGTATTATGCCGGTATCATGACAACTAAGTGAAACAGGCAGGTCATGTCCATCTTATACATGGGGAAACTGAGGCTCAAAAGTCAGATTCTGTCCTTCCAAGGTCACTCAGCTAGTAGTGGGAGGGCAGGATCCGACCCTAATCTTTCTGAACTTCACTTGCTTATTCCTAGTGACAGGAAGGCTCTCTGCCCACTCTCCACACGGCCTGCTCGCTAACATCATGCGGGTCTCGGCTCAGAAGTCACCTTGGGGAGGACTTCCTTGATCACCTGCCAGAGTACCCACTCTGGGTCACTCTTTTACCTGGCTATTTTTCTCTAGGGCACCCACTACTATCTACAATCATGCTCTGTCTTTACTGTCTGCCTGTTTACACATCTCCTCATCCAGAACACATGCTTCATGAGATGGAAACTGGCCGTACTCACTTCTACATTCTCAGTGTCCAGCATCCTGCAGCACCGAGACATTTGTTAAATAACTACTGCTGAGGGCCTCGTCATACTCCCATGCTACATGGAAAGGCTAAGGGAGAATCCTAATTATTGGTACTATAGAAGCATGCATGTTAGCTTTTACCACTAAAATTCAGTACACGTATTTACAGTCTCTACACTTACCTCTACAGGAGGATAATAGTTATAATTCCAGTACCAAAAGGTTCTGGGTAGATACCCTTTGACTAGATGGTGTTCTGGCACGAAGGGATGGAAAGTCTCCTTCCCGGTGGTGTCTCTGGAGTCTCCTGCCTCCACACTGAGAATCTCCATGCATCTGCCCAGAGCCAGGTCTTCAATGGAGGAACTGTGTGTACACTTGTCCGTTTTGAATGCAGCTACAAACCTCCTCAAGGCTTCCTTGCTCAGTACATAGCCTGCTCCCCCACTCATGTAGCCCTGCTTCACATAGGGCTTGAACCTTCTCCCAAAGTAAATGGGCTTTTCAGGGTCATGTTTTGAAAGAAGCCACCTCAGGTTGTCCAGTATGACGTACGTATCATCGTCTGCTTTCAAAAACCAATCTGCATCTTCCAGGTAATGGTCATGAACATACTGAAAAGCTTTAATTGTTTTCCAGTATAGTTGATCTCTGCCTTCTTTGGTCTTTAGTCCCACAGTAGGGAAGTCTTTATTTTCTTCTGAACTCATAAACAACACTTTGTTACAACGCTGGGCCCATGTGGCTTTGACGTGTTTGGCCTTTTTCTCTAGATTCTGAGGGCCAGTCATAACCCAGCAAAGAACTTTAACTTTCTGATAGAGGTTTTCAGCAATGTCTGTGTTCTCATCTATTAAATGAAACATTTAAAAAAGTTATTTACATAGATATAAAGTCCAAATAAATTATACTGAAGAAAACAATTTCTGAAACAATTTCAAAGACTCTTCTTCTGTTTACCCATCCATTAGTGATCTAGTTGAAGGAAAGCAAACTCAACGTGAACTGACATTCTTAACTGGTTTCATGTCAGTGTTGCACAGGACATCACTAGAGCCTACAAGAGTTGACACTATGACCTGAATTTTTACTACTGAAACTATGGCTTCCTGACCATCACTGCTGGGTGTGGTGGCTCATGCCTGTAATCCCAGGATTTTGGGAGGCCAAGGTGAGAGGACTGCCTGAGTCCAAGGGTTCGATACCAGCCTGGACAACTTGGTGAGACTTCATTTCTGCAATAAATTTAAAAAAAGAAAAGCTGGGCATAGTGGTGCACACCTGTGGTTCCAGTATCTTGGAAGGCTGAGGTGGAAGGATCACTTGAGCCCAGCAGGTTGAGGCTGTGGTGGCTACGAGGCTGCCACTGCACTCCAGCCTGGGCGTCAGAGTGACTCCAACTCAAAAAAAAACAAAAAAACATCAGCATCACCTGAGAACTAGTCAGGAACGCAAAATCACAGGCCAAAACCCAGTCCTACTCAGTCAGAACCAGCATTTTATCGAGTTCTCCTGGTGATTCACAGCCACATTAAATGCTGCCTTAAATAGTGTCTGCTTGGCATGTCATACTACAAAGCAAGCTTCTGCTGCTTTTCAAGATCACTGACAGGAATTCCTCACTGTTCTGATGAACTTCTGAAGCACAGAAAAGACCCGGCTGGAGAACCTAGATATGGCAGCAACAATTCAAAGCTCAGGGTTAATGAAGGTTGAGATCCTGCCTGATAGGAACATATCTCACTCCAAAATGCAAATCCACCCACTAGAAATAGAATAGAACAGAACAGAACAATAGTGGAGGTGGGAATTCCAAGACTGTCTAGAGCAGTGTTTTTCAAATTACTGATTTGCAAAGAAATAACAAACTTATTGCCAGAATATACAGCAACATGTTAGTTCATTTATCAAGAAAGATTTGTGGGCATGGTGCCTCACGCTGTAATCCCAAAACTTTGGGAGGCCAAGATGTGTGGACAACTTGAACCCAGGAGTTTGGTACTAATCTAGGCCATAGAGCAAGACCTTGTCTCTACAAACAAAACAAAACAAAAAACCCCAAAAACAAAAACAAAAAACCCCAAATTAGCCAGGCATGGTGGCGATGCCTGCAATCCCAGCAATTCAGGAGCCTGAAGATTGAAGTGGAAGGATGGCCTTACCCTAGGATGTCGAGGCTGTGGTGAGTCATAATCTTGCCACTGTACTCTAGTCTGGGCTATAGAGTGAAGAGAGAAAAGTAAAAAAAAAAAAGAAAGGCCTGCTACCAAAAACAAACAGTCCATGTAACTAAGTGAGCATAGGGACTTTTGCTGATTTACATCCTGGTGTAAGCTCAGTACTGGGTGCAGACAGCTCATGACCTCAGGTCAGGACCACGCTGTGAGCAGTGCCGATTGGGAGGAAGAGCCCAGTTATGAGAGGTGACCAGTGCTTCCCAAACTAGCTGTGGTGAAAGGTACATGTTTATTTCCAATAGTTAGAGATCAATACTAGTATAAATATGATAAAAATGAATTATGAGAAAAATAAGACAAAAAGAAATATACAAGCCCTACATTTTTATTTTTGTATTCAGACAAAATCACTCTAATGACCATAAAAGCTTCTGCTTACTCTCAAGTAAGCAGAACTGTAGCTGTAGACAGCATGAGTCTGCAAACTACACTCTGAGTAGCAATGCTCTAGGTGGTATCCTGAGAAAGCACAGATTCAAGTTAAGGTCAAACAGTGAGTTACAAAAGCTTAGTCCTATGAGAAACTAATGAAAGGGGCATAATATGCTAGTTAACTAACTGAGAGGGAACAGGAGGAAAGGCTGGTGGCACACTGAAAATATTCCCAGGCCTCACTGAATAGCAAGAATTCACACTACCCAAGGACAAAGGCAGACAAAAATTACCCTATTTTCAGTCAGAAAGCACTCACATCTCATATATCTCTGGAGCCCAACCTCTTAGCTATACAGATATGCCACACCCTGAATAGAGAAAGCAAGGCACGCAGAAATTCCAATCTGCTTCTTTCAGGACAAGACAGCTTTCTCCTCACTGCTGGGACTTGGCAGATATGCCCATTCTTTCAATTATTCATTCATTAATTTCTTTGCACCAGGCATGCGCCGGCACAGGAGATGAAAACATGAGTAAGATATATTTCCTGCCACAGAGGAATTCCCAGTCTAGCAGAGGAGCTTGACTTGCAAACCGGTAATAGCTACGTACAAAGAGATGTTCTAACAGAAGAACGTACGAGGGGCTCAATATGCTGAAGGACAAGAAAGTAGTGGCTGAAAGTCCTGCAGTGTGGTGACATGGGGACTTGGGTAGAACAGAGAAGAAGATGACAGAGAGAAAGTAGTACTAGAAGAAACAGCAGAAAAGACGAAGCAGAAAATAGATTGATGAGCAGTAGCTCATCAGAAGAAAGGAAAACAGGCCTGGCTGAGTGCAGGTACTGGGCATGGCTGAACTGGGGACATGCGCCGTGGATGGAGAGGAAGGGATAGGAACAAGGGAAGAACAAGGGAAGAAGTAAAACTGTCAGAATCTCATGACAAATGAAAGTGACATAAGTGAAGACAAGCACCTACCCTGATTTCACAGTCAGACGGTAATGAGCTATATAAATAATGAACATAGGTAGAAGAGCCACTTTCAGGAGCAGGAAGGAAAAGAAAAGTAGACTCAATTTACACATGTGGAGCCTGAGGGGAGTAGACAGATTTTAGCATCCCCCCCACTTTTTGTGGGCCACTGAGCAGGACAAGTATGCATTAATGTGTGTGCCTATAAGGAGGCCTGTCCGGCCCACTAGTAGTGGGGAAGCCTGGTTCCAACTGATCATCTGAAACCAGGTGGCTATGCCACAGAGCAAGGGCACAGGGAATAACTGCTCCATGATAGGAACTCGGAGTGCCTGCCCAGAGCTGTGTTACTGTTCCACAGACATTCACATAACGTGGCATACTCTGTAATAGTATGCATGTGCTTGCTAGTTGACAACAGTCAACCAGGTTTTGATACCTCACCCTTCAACCTCTGCTTGAGAGGTAAAGAAGCAATTTACTCCTGGAAAGATAAGAGAGACAACTTTTAACAGGGGATCCTCTGCATCCCAGAATTCCAGTTTGTTTCAAGCTGCTTGTTTTACTTTCTGTCAAATGAATTACAATTTGCAGAGACCTCTGCATTGTGTTAAAGTCTTCCTACAGTGTATGGAACTGGACTGAAGACAAAGAGAGTAAGGAATAGATGACAAAATTTTGAGGGCTGATGATACCATACAAAGAGCTAAATGGTAGAAACTTGGAGAAAACCAGAACTTGGGCACATGTAAGACTAAACTGAGAAAATCTAGTTAGAGACAGGAGGCCAAGAGAAAATGAAGTCATTAGAACACATCCTTTTCCCTCCCTACTTCCTAGGTTCTTTGTGCTTCTCAAAAGGAAAAAAAGATTAATGAGCTATAATAACTAATTATAAAAATATAAATTGAGATGTATATCTTGAGTTTTTCTAGGAAAACAAGACTTAAGCAAAAACTATGACCAAAACATGACAACAGCAAAAACTAAAGACATAGATATAAACCATAATAACAAACAAATTTTCAGGCACAAATCTAAACTGACAAATTATGCCTTTTCCCAAATCGGTTTTCAAACCATTTCTACTTAAAAATAAATTCAAAATTAATATTTTACTTCCTAAATAAATTTGTGTTTTAGCAATTCTCTTCTGAGGCAAACCAAGAATTTCTATCATTTAATATCTGGAATGTATAACTCATTTTAATTAATAGATATAGGCAGTGACATAACAAAATCCATATAAATAACTTTTTCGATTCGCTGAACACTTAAACTAATATACTGCTTATGTTTACTCCTTAATAAAGTAAACCATACCTTTATGTTGGCTAGCATCTGCATTGAAGTTCATTTGTCCTTCTAGATGATTCTGTCCATTATCATCTGAATGCCTAGCATGAGGATCATTATGAAGAATATTAGGCTGTGTATCACCTTGCTCTCCCAACAAAATACTAAGAAGCTGAGAACACAAAAAAAATCCTATTGCTGATCCACAGAGGAAGGTTAAAAAATTTAGCCAGGATTTAGAGGCCATTTCCCGAAAGTGTATTTCTGTAAGAAAAAAATTAGCAGAAAGTTTAAATCATAAAGCAATATACGTACCAAAGGTAAAATGTCTGATAACGTTTAGCTATAATGGAACATTAATTCCTTCCATATAGGAGAACAACTTCTAATAGAATTTAATGTTTGATTACGAGTTTATCCCTTCCATTTCCTGCTAATTTATGGACAACTGAATAAAAACAGATGAGTAATTAGAACAGTAATTATCATTGAGGTGGGACATGAATATTTTTCAAAACTGACGGACTACCAATCCTCAGATTCAAGAGGATTTATAAATCCTAACATGGATTTTTTTTTTTTAAAAAGGAAAACAATACCTAAGTGCACCATAGTCAAACTCCGGAAAACCAAGGACAGAAAAAAGGAGTAGTAAGATTGACAGCTGATTTCTCATTGGAAACAAGAGAATCAAGGCTACAGTAGAGGAACATTTTTAAGTGCTAAAAGAATGACCAACCTAGCACTCTGTATCCAGCAAAAATATCCTTTAAAAAACGAAACTGAAAAATATTTTCAGAAAAACAAAAATTAAGTGAATTAGCACTAGCAGGCCTACTCTACAGGTAATACTAAGAAGAGTTCTTTAGTCAGAAGGAAAAGAAATTTCAGAAAAAAGTTCAGAGATATAAGAAGGAAGAGTTGCCAGGCTGGGTGGCTCAGTCTGTAATCCCGCGCCTTTGGGAGGCTGAGGTGAGTGGACTGCCTGAGCCCGCGGGTTCGAGACCCGCCTGGGCAACTTGGCGAGACCTCATCTCTACAATAAATCAAAAAAATTAGCCGGGTGTGGTAGCGTACGCCTGTAGTTCCAGCTAGTTGGAAGGCTGAGGCGGAAGGATCCCTGGAGCCCAGTAGGTCGAGGCTGCGGTGGCCGGGAGTGGCCACTGCACTCCAGTCTGGGCGACAGAGTGAGACTCCAACTCAAAAAAAAAAAAAAAAAAAAAAGAAGAAGAAGAAGAAAGAGTCATAAAAAGGGTATGTATATAGATAAATCCAAATGAATATTGACAATACAAAATATTTTTAAAAGTATTACTATTATCATTAAACCAAATTACAAAACTGGCACAAAAAGTGTAAGGGAAATACATAGAGTCTAAGTATTCTAAAATCATTTCACTGTCCAGAAGTGATAAAACTATTAATTAACAACATACTTTAAAAGACCAAAAATGTATAATGTTATCAATAAAAACAAAATAGAAAAACAGTGAATGTATAATTAAAGCTATAATAGAAAAAAATGAAAGAATAAAATATTTAACCAAAAATAAGGTTAAAAAAAGAGAAAAAAGAAGAGAATATAGAACAGACAAAACAAAAAGAACAGAAATAGTAAAGTGGTTGATGTAAACCCAAACATATAAACAATCATATCAAACAGGCTAAAAAGTCCAATTAAAAAATAAAGATTGCCAGTGAGACAAGAGAAAAAAACCCAACTACAAGCTGCTTTCAAGAGACACATATTAAATATATTTATAAAGCGGAAAGCAAAAGAATGAAAAGATACATAAAACAGTAGTAAAAAGAAAGCTAATACATTAGCATCAGAAAGAATAAATTAGTGGTTACATGGTTTGTTCTCTATGATATTCACTAAGCACTACATTTATGATTTATATAATTTTCTGTATTAACATTTCAGCAAAAAGTGTATTAAAAAAACCTTTCATGTGACCTTTCACTTAGCCTATTAAGTACAGACTTCATAGAGTCATATTTAATGCAAAAATACTTGTCCCCAAATCTACAGGTAATATTACTGACATGCCATGGAAATACACTATGCTTATCCCATACCACATATCTTGTGTTTCAGGCCCTTTCCTGAATAGTGATTCTAGTTTGGGAAGCACGACTTTGGGGGAAGAGGAAGGGTAAAGGAAAGGCACAGTGAAAGCAAAGTTACTAAATGCCTAAGATGTGAATTACCCTCTGAAACGATCAGATACTCGTTTATACCATTTGCTCCAAGTGTGCCTTCAAGTTCAGAAAGGAAGGCCTTCATGGGTGAAGAGGACATAGACCCCACTCAGCAAACCCTCTTCCCACCCAATCCGATTTCCCAGAGAAAAAGCAGAAACAAGTTTACTGTGTCTTTCTGCTATTTTCTCTAATGGGAAGTTTCAAATTCTCCCTCCCTACCAGTCCTTTCCCCCATTCAGATTGGCTTTTAATGAAAAAAAAATTTTTTTTTTTTTGAGTCAGATTCTCACTCTGTTGCCCAGGCTGGAGTGCAGGGACACACCCATGGCTACCCCAGTGTCGACCTGCTGGGCTCTGGTGATCCTTCTACCTAAGCCTTCCAAAAAGTTGAAACTACAGGTATGTGCTACCATGCCCAGTTAAGTTTTTGATTTATTGTAGAGATGATATCTCACCAAGTTGCCCAGGCTGTTCTCGAGCCTGCAGTCTCAGCCAGTCCTCTCACCTTGGCCTTCCAAGGTGATGGGATTACAGGCTTGAAGCCACCACGCTCGGCCTACTGAAATCTTTATATGCAAAACATGCAATCAAAAATATCCCTCCTATTTTAAGTGATTGTTTTAAAATTCTAAAAATCTAAATTATTTGTGGCCCAGTTCGCTAGACCTTACTCTTAACCAGAAATATTGGTCTGAAATTTCATTCAAACAGTCAAACAGAACCAACTATTTAAATATGTTTGCTATTTTGTAAATCCTCCCTTTGATAGTGTCATGATCAAGGCTTAACCTACAATAGATGTACATGATGTGAAAGGGCCATGAACTGAAAACATGAAGCTAAGAGAAGTAAATCAAAGGCATACTAACTCCTAATTTCTTTTTTTTTTTTTTTTTGAGTCAGAGTCTGTCACCCAGGATGGAGTGTAGTGGCACACTCACAGCCACCGCAGCCTCGATCTGCTGGGCTCAGGTGATCCTTCAGCCTCAGCCTTCTAAGTAGCTGGAACTACAGGTATGTGTCATCACACCTGGTTAATTTTTTAAAATTTATTTACTGTAGACATGAGGTCTCGCCAAGTTGCCCAGACTGGTCTCAAACCCCTGGGTTCAAGGCAATTCTCTCACTTCCGTTCTACCTCCCAAAGTGCTGGGATTATAGGTGTGAGCCACTGCGCCTGGCCCTAACTCCTAGTTTTTTATGGCAAAGACAGAAAGACTGGCAGAATATGACTGAGGCAGTGAGCCTGGAGAAAGACTTTTAAGAAATTCAAAGGACCAAGAGGTTACGTAGGAGCCACGCTGCATGCTGGCACCTTCACACCCTGATGCTCCCACTGGCACTTCACCTTGCAGCACACTGATCTTGATCTTCTACTCTTTTTGTCCTACTTGTGATTTTCCTCACCTTAACACCAGATATAGCCACGTCACTGTCTCAGAAAGGAGCAAAGGCAGTGACACGTTCCACTCCTCCAGTGTCTACCACTCCTTGTACTGGAGGAGAAAGCAATGGCCACAGTGGTATTCAGGACCACTGGGACCGAAAGCACTATGACTGAGAAGAGAAGGTGAGGAATGCAGGTCCAGGGAACATCCCTGTTTCTGTGACGCAGAGGACACTGGACATGCAGGAAGCACTGACACAGCTCCGGTCACTATGAAGACATACCTGCTCCCCAGTCACTTCCAGGGAGTGGCTGTGCCTCAGAACCAGCCCACCTCGAAAGCGTGGAAAAGGTGCTGCTCACAGAAGGCTAGTCAAATACTTATGGCCAGGGTTTTCTTAGCTGTGGGGGCAGTTATCCCAGAGTGAGTGGAAGGGAAACTGACTTCTTGGCGTTGTCATCCGTTTTGAACTGGAGAATACTATGTGAAGCTGTGTGGTACAGTGCCTGACATCCTCTTCTCCTCATCCCCCAGCGCCATCGGCATGTACTGGCTTCTCCCTGTTCTCACCACATCCCTATCCAGTTCCTAGGACTCCTGCCTATGGCTAAGTACCTGTCAACTCCCATTTTTCTTTCCTGCTCCTGGGATAAAATAGACATCTCATGAAGGTGGAAAAACCCCAAAGCTCACTCAGCTTTTTGGCAAAAATTATATTTACCTCTTCAGATTCCTCAAGAAGGCAGAAGTAGACCAGAATGGAAGAAGACATAGTTTAACCACTTTGCACATTATAGGGGCCTAAATGGGTATTTATTTGAATTTTGTGGGGAAAGTTATTTATGCCAAGTGCCTCCAAGCCTGATGTGTAATCAGAATCACTTGAGCAGTATTTAAGAAATAGATTTCCAGGCTCGATGATTGAGGTCTCAAAGCCCACTATCCAGAAACAGCCATCATTAGCACTTGGGAATATCATTACAGATACATCTCTATGAATAAGATGTTACCATAGGGAAGGTAATGGTAGCTAACATTTGAGCCCTCTACTAAGATCTTTACATAGAATACCTAGTATTATTATTTATATTCTCATTTTATAGTTGAATTCAGACAGAGAGATTAGCAACTATCCCAGAGACATGCTAGCAATCTAATCAAGAATTCAGACTCTTAACCACTTTGCTATATGTCATAGTCCATTTTCAGAGGATTACACCAGAATACCTGGTATAATAACTGGGTCATTTACAAAGAGAATGTACTTCTCACAGTTTTTGGAGGCTGGGGAATCCAAGATCAACAGAAGCACATCTGGTGAGAGCCTTCTTGATGGTAAGGACTCCGAAGACTCTCCAGGTGGCACAGGGTATCACACAGCACTAGGGCTAAGTGTGCTAATGTGCTAGCTCAGGGCTTTCTTTCTCCTTTATGGAACCACCAGCTCCCTTCCCATGATAATCCATTAACTCACTGACTCATTAATGGTTAATCCACTCATAAGGATAAAGCCCTCATGACAATCACCTCTTAAAGGCTCCACCTCTCAATACTGTCACACTGGGGATGAAATTTCAACATGAGTTTTGGAGAGGACAAATATTCAAACCATAAGCACTATAGTTTTACAGAATTAGGATTACATCAGTTATGCTGTTGTAAAGATTAGACAAAAATTAAAATGATTTGAATTTAT